CACTTGGGATGGCTTCAGTGAATCAGAGGAAATTACTTGTTGAAATAAACACTTGTGCCCACAGGGTGAAAAAATTACTTCTTATAGAGATATTGTTTTCCTTCTTTAACTATTTAATATTTCAAATATGGAACCTCTGCTGAGTGGCTTCTTCCTTCTTTCTCTGCAGATCTTATCATGATACATCTCTTTTAACCAGCCTATGCTGCACTGTATTTCTGGTGATTAATTGCTGAGGTCAGACCTGGGCAGTGAGGAAAGACCTGGTGGGGGAAGAACTTTCATATATAATAAGTCTTCTCTTGACATTAACCAATTTTACCATAGGCTAATTAGTATAAACAAGAGCTAAGTTCCCATGGCATATTTCTGGTCGTAAAAACATCACCAAACTTCAAAATAATGACCAAGACACCTATAATATTAAACATTGAAGTAAGTGTGAGCTGTACACACATTTAAGATTAATTAAAACAAGATAATTACTTACTCAATTATTCCAGTTCAGAGTCTCAGGTGACCTGAGAATATCCAAGCAGTGAAGGACATAGGTGAGAACTGACCCTGGAAAGGATGCCATCCATCATAGGGTACATTCACACACACCCACACACTCATACCCACACTCACACACACAGTCACATACACCCACACCCACACACACCCACATTCACAAACGCATACACACACCCACACACACTCCCACACTCACTCTGACTGGGACCATTTAGACACAGTAGCCCACCTAACAGGCACTTCTTTGGGATATAGGAGAAAACTGGAGAAACCCACACAGTCGTGAAAAGAACATGTAAAATCCATGTAGACAGTGGCTATAGAGAGGAATCTGTTTTTTTCTCATTAATGTTATAACAAAACAACATTGTATGTAATTACATTACTTGAGGACCTGCTGTATCTGTAAATCAATTAATTAGTCAAATGATTAATGAACATGGATTACAAGGAGTCCAGGGAAGAGATATATGTGGATTAGCAGTAGCAGGGGAAGAAAGAAGTAGGGAAAAGCTCACCCTTTATCTCTAGGGACCCCTGGATGTCTGAATTCTGACTCTTGGCCAAGATAAGGGCAGTGAGAATAATGTGGTGTTTAAAGTGCTAAACTCTGGCGACTCCAAGAGTCAATTTCTTCACTAAAGGTTTTCTAGTGATCTAATTGGTTAGGCAGCGTGCCTTTGATACGTGGAGAGAGGGGTATATGAAGCCCACTGTTGATTTTATAGCTTTGAGCTCTCCCAAAGCCTAGATTCCATGCACAGATCTTGGTGGTTCAATCCCTGAGATAGAGTCTGGTCGGATCCTTGTGTAACCACCTTGGGGAACTTGCTCATGGGATGATTGTCAGACTCCCACTGCTTGCCTGTGCTCTTTTTCTCTTGCTGCATCGTTTCCATGGCCTTTACATAAAAGCCCCACGTGTGTATGAGTATGCTCTGTGGAGTGTGGTGAGCCCTTTCCAATATCCGGACATGGGAAATCTTTGCATTCACAGTGCCTAGGGAAAGAGATGCCTCATTTTCCTCATTGGAAAAATGATGAGGATGATAAAAATAATAATTACCTTATGGGGCTATTATGAAGATTAAGTGAGCTAATAGAGGTACAACAATTAGAGCAGTATATGGTACACAGTAAATGCTGTATAAGTCCTAGTTATTATTATTTTGAGCCTGTCTAAACCTTAGTGATATGGTTTGGCTGTGTCCCCATCCAAATCTCATCTTGAATTGTAACTCCCACAATTCCCACATATCATGACAGGAACCTGGTTGGAGGTGATTGAATCACGGGGTGGGTTTTTTCATGCTGTTCTTATGATAGTAAGTCTCAGGAGATCTGATGGTTTTAAAAACGGGAGTTTCTCTGCACAAGCTCTCTCTTTGCCTGCTGCCATCCATGTAAAATGTGACTTGCTCCTCCTTGCCTTCTGCAGTGATTGTGAGGCCTCCCCAGCCATGTGGAATTGTAGGTCCATTAAATCTCTTTTTCTTTCTAGTCTCGGGTATGTCTTTATCAGCAGCATGAAAATGGACTAATACACTTAGCATGGGGGACTTCTTTTGCCTCAACTTTGTGTGTGTGCATGTGTGTATGTTTGATAATTGCTTCCTGTCTACTTACTTATTATTAAGAAAAAAATTTTGTTTTAAAATAGCTGTTTTTTTGTTTGTTTGTTTATTTGTTTGTTTGTTTGTTTTGATGGAGTCTCACTGTATCGCCCAGGTTGGAGTGCAGTGGCATGATCTTGGCTCACTGCAACCTCCACCTCCCGGGTTCAGTCTCCCAAGTAGCTGGGACTACAGGCGCCCACCACCATACCCAGCTAATTTTTGTATTTTAAGTAGAGACAGGGTTTCACCATGTTTGCTAGGCTAGTCTCAAACTCCTGATCTCAGGTGATCTACCCGCCTCAACCTCCCAAAGTGCTGGGATTACAGGTGTGAACCACCTCACTCAGTGCTGTTTGAAATCTTATCAGTAAGACTGAAACATTCCATTTTTGCCTGGAGGGTCTGAGTTATTTTGACACAGAAAAGCATCCAGGTGCACAACTTCAAATAAGAGAGTTTTGGATACAACGTTTCATTTCAAGGAAACAGAGCCCTGCATTTGCTTCTTAGCTCAAGCCTGATGTTAAATACTGTCTTGCTTTAATTACAGCCTATCAAAATATCACTTCATTTAAACTCCACTTAACCTCTCCCCTTCCCCAATATCCTATAGTAACCTTGTCTTTTCCTGTGTTTGGTGGGACACTCAGATTTTCTCTGTTGAATACTGTCCCTTGTTGCATCATGTTAATAAACTTGGCTTTATTGTATCATACTATAGTTTTGTTCCTGGTGGTCTTTATCAGACAAGCTTTATAGAAATATACATGCATGGTATAACTGAAGATTTCATTCTTTTTTCTTTTAAAAAAACTATACTAGTATTTTAAAAATATCTATCCTTGTTGCTTTATGTAAATCTAATTCATTACTTCTAACTGCTAGATAGAACTTCATCTCACAAACACAACCATACTCCCACACACCATATTTTTTTCCCCATTCTCCTAGAGGTAGATATTAGAGTTGCCTCCAATTCCTTTGTACTATAAACAATGCTATATATCCTCATTGATTTCCTCTTATGGTAATCCTTAAGAATTTTCTGGCATATATACACTGAAATGGTACTGCTGAGTTCTAAGGTGTGCTGCCAAAATTTTGCTAAGATTGCTAGAATAGTAGATCCAGTGTACATACTTGCCAGCACTTGGTACTATTATCTGCTTTCAAGTATTTTCCAGTTAGATGGGTATAAGGTGGTATTCCATTTTTGTTCTGGTTTGTATTTCTTTGAGCACAAGTGAAGTCAAGCACCTTTTCTCTGTCAATTACTTATTTGTTTTTCTTCCATGTATTACTTACTCATATTCTCTCCCCCTTTAAAAAACTGGGCTTTTTGTCATTATGCAAAGAAAGCACAAGAGCTAGTCTTTGCTGTGTTATAATTTATAATTAAGCAGGAATAATTTATAATTAAGAGGAAATTAGAGGACATGCTGTACTCTGTGGCACTTCCTGAAAGTACAAAAGATAATCCCTTGAGATAGAACCATCATAGGTTGATGTTTTTAGAGGCAGCTGGGAGAGAGAAAATGTGAGCAGAGTTGGAAGTATAGGACAGAGGTGAGTGGTGGAGGAGAGACAAACCTCCAGAGTATGGCAGGCAGCAGGAACAAAGGCTAGAGGAAGAAGGGTAGGTTTGTTCCAGAAAAAGCAAGGAGACCCACTTAAGTGGAGGATATGGTTAGGGTAGTGGAAATTAAATTTGTATACATAGGATTTAACTGGTAGGAGGACTAATAGGTTCCTGTGATGATAGGTTTTATGTGCCAATTTGACAGGGCCACAGGATGCCCAGATAGCTGGTAAAACATTATTTCTGGGTATGTTTGTGGATGAGATCAGCATTTGAATTGGTGGACAGAGTAAAGCAGGTTGCCCTCCCCAATGTAGGTGGGCATAATCCAGTTTGTTGAGGCCCTGGATAGAACAAAAAGATGGAGGAAGGGACAATTTGCTCTCTTGGCCTGGTTGCTCATGCTGGCACATTAGTCTTCTCCTGCCTCAAGCTGCAACCTTTGCCATTAGCTCTCCTAATTCTCAGTCCTTTGGATTCAGACTAGAGCTACACCACCAGCTCTCTTGAGTCTCCAGCTCACAGACTGCAGATGATGGAACATCTCAGCTTTCACAATTGTGTGAGCCAATTTCTAATAATAAATCATATATATGTAAAATATATAAATAAAAACATGATAAATATCTCTATATGATATATATTAAAATATATAATAAATCACTCTATATATTTATAATATATAATATATATTATAAATATATTTATTATAAAGAATTGGCTCATGAAATTATGAAGGAAAAGAAGTCTCATGATCTGCCTTCTACAAACTGGAGTCCCTGGAAAGCCAGTTGTATAATTTTAGTCTGAGTCTGAAGGCCTCAGAACCAGAAGAACCAGTGGTCTAAGTTCCAGTCTGAATCCAATGGCCTGAGATAGATATATATCCCCTATTGTTTTTGTTTTTTTTTCCCTCTGGAGAACTCTAATACAGCCACTGAGCAGGGAAGTAACATGGTCAAAAGTAGGGTTTTAGAAAGATTTTATTTTCCAATAGCAAAGGGACTGAGAGGGCAGACCAGTGACCAGAGAAGACTATAGGTAAAAAGTGAATGTTTATTTGCATTGAACAGAAAATACGTACTGGGTGTTAGCAATGGGATTGAAAAAGAAGGGATAATTAGAAAGATTTAAAAAGAAAAAGAATTTGGTGGCACTATATCAATAATAAAAGAGTTCTTGAATTTTCTAAGATTTTAGTCTGATGGATTGGAAATATATTGATATTATCTGAAACAGGATAGCTTGCGGGGGCGGAATAACTGCCAGGGGAAGAGCATACATTGCAATGGTGTTATATTTTAATATCATTTGAATAAATTACAGGGTTTAAGGGGAAAGCATATTGCTCACAAGTTGAGGACTTTTGTCCTTTTCTTTTCCTATTATCAGACTCTTCAGCCCTATTCTACCCTTTCTTTCTGGGTTTTGAAAACACCCTTTTTGTACACAATCACTCTTTCTGCATACAAACTCCCATTTATCAAATAAATGTTATTTAACAATTTGTCTGTATTCCCTTAAATCCTGAAAAAAATCAACCATTCTTTAGTAAAACTTGTTATATTTTGTGATGTTCAAACACTACATTCAAAAATGGTGACTCTATCAAATGACAGTTTATTATAGTGATTGATTTGTACATGGTTTGTTAAATGCATCTATGTTGTAGGCTTTTTGGCTAATATGATTTGTTAAAACCCTCTCAGCAAAGTGCTGTTACAATGACCATCTTTGGGGACTTGGAAATAGCCTCATTACACAGAACTTGATGTTATACACTAATGGCATTTATTAGAATGGAATTCTATATGTATTATTACTTCCGACATCAGCCTGGCCTTTGTAGCCTCCTCACAGCATGCAACTTTGGTAATTATGCTAATGCTAGCTAATTCATGAGGACAACTTCCTAAAGTGCACTCAATTAACTTGGAGATTTTGTAAATAGCTATACATGTAGGTTCCGGAAATTGTGGGGATATGTCAATCTGACGTGTAGAGTCTGCCTTCCTAACTGCATCTCTTTGTTTTACTAAAGCTTAATTTTAAACAACAAGAAGTTACAATCTGATTTCTTTTCCAGCAAGTGCTTGAGGAAGATTCTGATAAGTGTCACTTTAGCCTGTATCCTCCAGTCCAAGTCCCTTGAGCCAGATGAGTTAGGTAGCTTGGTGTCTTTTAAGTTGGTTAGAAGAGAAAATATTGAAGTTTATTTCTTTAGCAAAGGGTACAATTTTTCCAATATGTTCCTGCAATGTGATTTTTGCCAGTTTGCTGATTCTGCCAACCAACGTTGCTCTTCAGGGGACTGTTCCAAAAATTAGACTTCTCATTCAGAAGGCTTCATGATCTCTGCTTCCCTTCAGTCCCAGCTGCTGGGGATTTTTTGATATTACAGTGACTCATCAACCTCATTTGAATGAAAATAATCTGATTTTTGACCTATTACATTAAAGGCTTATATCCCTTACATGTAAGAGGTGAAATTTATAAACCTAGAACAATTAGCCAGGCTTAAGAGTGCCATACAAGAAATTAAACACAATAAAAATTAAGAGAAAAGGTTAGTGAATCACATCACAGCCAAGAGCAAGCTAATAAAACTGGGAGGAAGAAACATTATCGGGAAAGAACCAAAGGAAAAGGAAACTTACTACATACAATTAGAAGATATAGCAATTGCATAAAGTTAATGAAAACAGAGAATAGGGATGGCTTTTAATAATCTTCTTATTACCACTGCATGAAATCACACTCTCAGATAAGTCCTAGAAACTAAGCTAGGGATTTGCCTTTCATTTCTCAAGGGTCCCAGCAGGTCATTTCCTCTCATTAATTTAAGTTACAATCCTAGGTACAATCTCTTTGGGAACTAGCTATATCACATCTAAAGATAATCAAACATTTATTGCTTAGCCTTTTCTTTGACTTCAATAGTAAGAACCTCTTCTCCACCCTCAGCAGAAGGAGCCATGCTGATGATGAGTGATTGACGGGAAGTTCCTCTGGGGAAAACTGTCCTAACTGACTGGGGCTCTTCCTCCACTGCAATAGGACTTGCTGTACATTCAGGTCTGTCCAGTGGCTTCTCTTCTGGCTCTCTTCCTTTATCTTTATCTTCATTTTCTTTTTGTTTATCTTCATTTTCTTTTCCTTTATCTTCGTTTTCTTTTTGTTTACCTTCATTTTCTTTTCCTTCTTCCTCTCCTCCTTCAGAATTTTCTTTTTCCTGGAAAGAGCAATTACAAGTAACTGGTGTTGAAATCATAATTAAAAACATTGGATTGGATTTTGATTAGCATGCAATGGCTAAGATCACCACCAAGACAGACTGTCTGAATTAAGTGAATCCAGGAATCATGTCTGCTTTGCTTCTAACTATCATTTGACTAAGTTTCTGGTGTGTTAGAGAATGGACCTGTTGCCTCTGACTCTTGACGTTAGTCTGAATTGCATTTTTTTGGTCTCTGCTAAGGAATTCTCTTCTTATTGGTCCTTATACTCTCCAAATTATTAGACTCAGTGCTCAGGACTCTGTTTTTGCTTTTTAAATATTTACTTATTCTGTAGAGATAAAAGTTTAAATATTTATTTTTAATAAAAAAGTATTAACCACTACCATATAAAAGTACTGTAGAAAGTAGGGTTTCCTCTTGCCTAAGCTCATGGGAGAAACTCAGGGAGAAACTTATCCCTTTCCTAGTACAATCTTTTCCATTTGTCCCACAGGTGCTTGACCTGTCATGTTTGAACCTATTGTGTTTAGCACTAGCTATAGAAATTTCATAGCAAAGGTACACTATGCTCTTTATTGGTAATGGTTGGTTGGGATCAATATGAGAAAGGCTTGCCCGAGATATGAATGTGCACAGATAAAGTTGAGATTCTTAACACATTTACTTGTATATTTCTTTACTCGCATACATTTTTTATGTAAATTACTATGTCTATGCCGATGCAAATGAAGCATTTGATTTATACTGGATCCCTAATTTTCACCACAGTGTTTTATGTGTGGAAAAGGAAAAGACAAGTTTTCATCTTTTGTATGTGACTGAGTTTATAATATGTGCTTTACTCATTTTCTAAAAGGTCCACAGCTACCCATTTTCTACAGTTTTAGAGATAATATAATGACTAGGTTCAGAAAACCTGAATCCCTGGTCTGTTTCTCAGTATCTGCCCTCATAGACTAATTATGAGAATGAAAGAAATACAGAAACCAAAAAAAAAAAAAAGAACATTGAATATTTGTGAAAATGTTGATAAAATAGGTTATTTATTTATATATCCATATGTATGTCTGTATATATACAGTTGATTCTTATCATTCATGTAGTTTTGTTCTATAAAGTTTCAACAAACAGCAAGTGAGAAAGTACTGAACCATTGCTCCTGGGGGAGATACAGCATTAGGTTCCTGTGAGATATTATGGTTCAAACCATAATATTTTTGTCAACTGGTCAATATATAACTTTGTTTCATGTGTGTTTTTGTTTAGAGATACCCTTTTTAATTTGATCAATTGATTAATTTGAGGTATTATTGATTCATTATAGTGAACTCATGGAAGCAGCACTGTAATGCCTGAATGAAGTTTATCTAACACACATATTTTCTCTGGAAGGCACATCACAGCACTTTGGCACTTAGAAGCACTAGACAGTATTTCAGGACTATGCTTGGGGGCTATTTTAAACAGCAAATCACACACATGCAAAAAGCACAAAAATGTGGAACCCATGGCCCCAAAAGGGTCACTCTTTGTTGTTGTTGTTGTTTGTTTGTTTGTTTGTCTGTTTGTTTGTGTGTTGAGACAGATTCCTGCTCTGTTGCCAAGACTGGAGTGCAGTGGTGTGATCTCGGCTCACTACAACCTCTGCCTCCCAGGTTCAAGCGATTCTCTTGCCTCAGCCTCCCAAGTAGCTGGGACTACAGGTGCATGCCACCATGCCCAGCTAATTTTTTGTGTTTTCAGTAGAGACAGGGTTTCACCATGTTAGCCAGAATGGTCTCGATCTCCTGATCTTGTGATTCGCCTGCCTTGGCCTCCCAAAGTGCTGGGATTACAGGTGTGAGCCACCACGCCCAGCCAAGGGTCACTCATTTATAGTATGAGAGCTGAAACAAGAAAGTAGAGTGCCTCTTTGTTCAACCTCAGCTGAAAATGTATGCATCAAGCAACTTAATTTTTTTGCCACCCTGCACATGTTCTTGTCCACAAATAACCACAAAAGCACCATAAGTATTGATTTTAAGTTACTAATAAATTATAGTAGGTAGATTCACCAACATAGAATCTGCAAATAATCTATGAATAATGAGGGTATACTCTTTATAAATACATGTATATTAAGGCCGTCTATAAACATCCTGTGAGGGTTAAATGTGATGATATGTGGGAATTCAGCAGTTTAAATAATAATGTGCTATATATAAAGCAGGAATTATTAGTGTTATGTTAGTCCAAATCATCCCATTGTCTGAAATGGAATTAGAGTAGGCGTTTGTGTGGATATACTTAGACTGGAGCCTTCTCCATGACAGCCCTCCATTCACTCCACCTTATTACCTGAGCTGCTTGTTCTCGTTTCAATTTGAGTAGTCTTGCAAGACTCGCTTTTCCTTTGCCTCCTAGGAGAGTTTTAAACAGTTTGGGTGTCTCTTCTTTTGGTGGGAAGAGGAAGGCAAGATCTTTTCTTGGAGGGGTTGCTTCTGCGGTCTTAGCCTTCTGCTTTAAAAGCACTCTGGGGGTAGCAGAGAAAAGCTGTTTTAGGTAACTCTGTGAGAGTTCTGGCAAAATCTACCAGAAAAACTGCAATTTATCCTAACCTGTGTAGTTTCAATGGGTACGTCCATTAATAGTTGTTTATTAAGCCTATCTCACTGTGATCAAGTTTATCACAATCATAATACGGTTCTTCCTATTTCAGAGTTTACAAAGTAAAACCAACTCCATTCATCTCTAATGGGGTTTTAAAGGATATACCTGGCTTTCTTCATGAGGATCCTTTCAGAATCTGGATAATGCACTAGAATTTCTTGAAGGGTCTTTTTGTCTAGAGTTAAAAGATTGGCAAACCCATGGGCCACCACATTGGCAGTTCGACGGTTTCCTCCTCCTGCTGCCAGAAGGCTGTAAGAGAGAAAAGTGAGTCTTTGCCACCAGTTTCACTTTTCCTCCACTGAAATCTCTTTAAAAAAATAGCAACTATTGTAAGTATTTATACTGCTTCAGAAATCATTCCCTAGAGGTGAGGGTCCAGGTGACTGTGTGGAGAGTGTCAGGATGTGGGAATATAAATGGCTCAGTTTTTGATATATTTTTTCTCTAACTCTCACCTCTAAGTCCCACAAATCACAGACTTGTGGCTATCAGTATCCTGTCAGATCCTTCATCTCAGATTCCAGAAATGCAGAATCCTTTTTGACTGGGTATCCCTCATTTGCTCCTTCAGATACACTTTTCACCTCTCCCCAGGCTCCTTTGTTTCCCAGGAAGCTGACCTCTGTAGACTTGCCCTCTAACTTCACTTGAGCTCAGTCATTGGAAAAGACTAACAGGAAATCAGAAAGCAGGAAGAGAGTGGGTTCAGAGCGTTTATCTCCCCTGTTATTTTCCTGCCAAACCTTAGGTTAGCAGTGGCTGCAGTTCTCTACCAAAATCTACAGCTCCTGACACATGGATGTTTTCTAGACGTGCAATTCCCATCACTCTTGATGAGCTCTGGTAACTATACTCTCTTCTTTTCCTGTTCAGGCCTCACTATAGTAACAGTTCCTTTACTGCTGCTAAATTTGAGATGCACTGCCACCTTTTGTTGGTGTAGTAGTCCATTTTCACTCTGCTATAAAAATACTACCTGAGACTGGGTAATTTATAAACAAAGGATGTTTAATTAAGTCAATTCTGCATCACTGGGGAGGCCTCAGGAAACTTATGGTAATGGTGGAAGGCAAAGGGGAAGTAAGGCACATCTTACATGGCAGTAGGAGAGAGAGAGAGAGCAAGGAAGTGCCACACTTTAAAACCATCAGCTCTCCTGGGAACTCATTCATTATCACAAGAATAGCATGGGGGAAAGTGCCTTCATGATCCAGTCACCTCCCATCAGGTCCTTGCCTCAACACGTGGGGGTTACAATTTGAGATGAGATTTGGGTGGGGACACCGACCCAAACCATGTCAGTTGGGTGCGCTTAGACTTTTCCTCACTTCTGTCAGTAATCCCTTTATTAAAGTTTACTCAATTGCCTCACTTGAGTGTGTCTGTTTCCCACCTGGGCTCTGGCTAATACAGCTCTCAACATCAAATGTGAAAGCCAGTCCTTCATGATGCCCTGGTCACCTGAGATGAATCCAATCTCATCTCCTACTGTACTCCAAAATCATCCTGTTTCTCAATGTCATAAGCTGCTCTGTAATAGAGTCATTCACATACATCTCCCCACCTGGAATGCCAGAGAATTGTGGGCTTTATGTCTTGGAGGGATAGAGAAGAGCATTTTGCATTTGAGAAATAAGCAACAAAGAGTGGGGGAATAAATGAACATAGAAATGAATAAGATAAGTAGATAAAAAGTCTATCATTACCAATGATCTGAGAAAGAAGGGTTGGTCTGTAAAAACGAACAAGAAAAACCACATTTCAAATGTGTAAAAAAGACACCATATGTTCTGCATTAAGAGCATAACACAATGGACTGAACCCCTTGGAGTTAATCTGTTAGAAATTGAGAAAGAAGGATCACATTAACAAAAACAGCCTCTACAGGTGGAGAAGACAGAGAAAACAGTCTGACCTTTGGAAGCGATGAGATATGAGAAGCTGCATGGGCCCTGTGCCTGAAGATTTCTGTTATACAGTGTGAACAACTTCTGTTGTTGCAGAAAAGGGGGCATTCCAGTTGGCTGTTAATTGTTAAAAAAACTAATGTAGGGTTTTAGCTCTGACAGGTTAAGAGCCTGGAAGTCATTACTCCTGTCCTTACAACAAGAAAAAGCTGCACAATTGAAAAATTAACGAGTTTTCTTAGATCTGTCAGAGAACTAAAGTCACGGGGCAAACTACCACCCCCAAATCTGGAGAGAGAGGTGAATCCATAAAACTACAGCCGTGTCTGCTTACTGCAGCAGAAACCCCTGGAGTAGGAACTGGTAGGAATGCTTAAACGCTAATTTTAATAGATTAAATTGGAGGCTGAATGTGGACTAGCATGAGAGTGAGAAACTCTTGGGGGCCGGGGTTATAAAGTCACTCACACTTTGGTGGGATTTACCACCAGGAACCTCATCAGGTTCTTAGGGTGAAGAGCCAACGAAGATCCCCTCTTGGCTCTGGCAGGCGTAGGGGAGGATGAATCATCGTGAAATATGCCCAGAGCATATTTGTTCTCCATACCGCAGGCCTACTATTTAGAGAAAAATCCTTTACCAGAGCTTTGTGCCACGTGAGGGAAGAACATTTTTCCCAGTGCAGCCCCTTTAAGCCTTCCTGTCTTATCTAAGGGAGATGGAAAGCTAAGAAACTCCTGTGAATGTCACAGCATTGGGACATACAAAAAACTGAAAATCACAGAATTATAAATTGTTTCTCCTTCTCCATGCCTTACCCCCACACCAAGTGTCCTACATAATACTAATGAATTACAGCTGAAACAGCGGCAAGATGCAAAACCTCTCTGAGAAGCCTCTCTTCTTAGGCTGCCCTAAGCCCAGTCAACAGTGGAGACAAAGACAGGGAACTAGAAGGAATTTGAAGCCTCTGGCACCAACAGCTATACCAAATGTTATACACAGCCCGATTCCTAGCCAAATTCGTATAAAATGTCACACTAGAGACCTGTTTACCTCAGTCCATATTATTTGTTACATAATTTTTAGCTTTGAACCACAAAAAACAAAAAAATTATAAGGAATGCTAAAAGGGAAGAAAAAACAGTCCCAAGAAACAAGCATCAGAAATAGATTGAAATATGACACAGATATCGAAGTTATTAGACAGGAAATGTTTTAAAACTATGATTAATATGTAATCTCAGCACTTTGGGAGGCTGAGACGGGTGGATCACTTGACTTCAGAGTTCAAGACCAGCCTGGGTTACATGCTCAAACCCCATCTCCACTAAAAATATAAAAACTTAGCCGGGCATAGTGGCATGCCCTGTGGTCCCAGCTACTTGTGAGGCTGAGGAGGGAGCATCACTTGAGCTCAGGTGGTGCAGGTTACAGTGAGCCAAGATCGCACCGCTGCACTCCAGCCTGGTCAACAGAGTGAAACCCTATCTCAAAAAAAAAAAAAAAAAAAAAAGGCCTAGAACTTTTCAAAATTAATGTCAGATACAAAACCATAGATCCAGGAAGTTAGGAGAACATTAAACAAGATAAATACCAAAAGAAACAAAACAACTGAAAAACCCCCAACTTCTGGGCATATCATATTCCAACTGCAAAAAACCAAAGACAAAACCTCGGAAGAATCCAGAGGGGGGAAGTACCTAAGATAGAGAGAAACAAAGATAAGAGTTGTAGCAGATTTTTAAATTAGAAGCCACACAAGAAAGACAGTGGAGTACGGTATTTAAAGTGTTGCAAGAATAACTACCAACTAGAATTCTATATTTAGGGAAATGACCCTTCAAAAGTAAAGGAGAAACAAAATCATTGTCAGAAAAACAAAAACAGAGGGAATCAATTGCCAGTGGCCTCGCCCTGCAAAAAATGTTTAGAGTTCTTCAGGGAGAAGGAAAATGATATAGATCAGAAACTCAGGTCTACACAAAGAAAGGAAGGACCTTTAAAAAGGCATAAATGAAAGTAAAATATTTTGTCATTCTTTTTCCTTTTCTTTTTTTTTTTTTTTTGAGACAGAGTTTCGCTGTTGTCACCCATACTGGAGTGCAGTGGTACAATCTTGACTCACTGCAACCTCTGCCTCCTGGGTTCAAGTGATTCTCCTGCTTCAGTCTCTTAAGTAGCTGGGATTACAGGTGTCCACCACCACGCCTGGCTAATTTTTGTATTTTTAGTAGAGATGGGGTTTCACCATATTGGCCAGGCTGGTCTCAAACTCTTGACCTCAGTTGATCTGCCCGCCTTGGCTTCCCAAAGTGCTGGGACTACAGGCATGAGCCACCATGCTCGACAATTTTTCTCATTCTTAATTGTTCTAAAAGACAACTGTTTAATAAAGTGGTAATGTGTTTGGTAATTATAACCTATTGATAAGTGAAATGAATGACAGCAATGTCATAAGGGCTGAGGGGGAAGAACTGGAAACATTCTGTTGTAAGGCACCACATGTGAAGTGGCATAGTGTTATATGAAGGTAGGTTCAGATACATTTAAAATGCATATTGAAAACTGTAGAGTAACCATTAAACTTTAAAAAACAAGTAGAATTATTATGCTAAGAAAGAAAAAGGAAATGGAATCATATAAAATGCCCAAAGTGAGAGAAGGAAGGAAAAAAGTGGGAGGAAACTGGTGTAAGGCCACTCATGGCTTCAAACTTGGCCACTTACCTGCACCTAGCATTAATGACAGGGTCCGGGGCTCTCCAGGCCACTTAAGAAGGGACTTAGCCCTGGAAAGGTGACTCACGCATGTAATCTCAGCACTTTGGGAGGTTGAGGCGGGCAGATTGCTGGAGCCCAGGAGTTCAAGACCAGGCTGGGCAACATGGCAAAATCCCTTCTCTACAAAAAATACAAAAATTAGCTGGGCGTTGTGGCACATGCCTGTAGTCTCAGCTACTTGGGAGACTGAGGTAGAAGGATCACTTGAGCCTGGGAGGTCGAGGCTGCAGCAAGCGCCATGGTCACACCAATACACTCCAGACTGGGTGACAGAGTGAGACCTTGTCTCAAAAAAAAAAAAAAAGAAAAAAAAAGAATGGAATTCCTCCTCTAAGACAGAAAGAATATATTTGGAATCTTTAAACATGTGCTCAATGATTTCACATTTCAAAGTTTTCCCTTTGAGGAAAACCACTAACTTTAGTCTTTTCCTAAGGTACTCTTAAGCTCCGCCTTTGTCAGAGAAGACAAGGGAAATAAATGTTACCCCATCTGTCTGTGTATGTACATATCATTCTGTCTGTCATCTGCTGTCACAATCATATCTTCACTCATTCAT